GCATTAGTAACCGTGGGGATGCAGTGTGAGTGGTGCGCACAGGCCACTGTCCTCATCATTGTGGGGAAACAGAGGCACGGAGCAGGGAACTGCCTTGAGGGGGGACACAGAGTCAGCAGCAGAGACAGGAATAGAACCCAGGAGTCCTGGCTCCCAGCCCCCCTTCTCTAACCACTAGACCCTGCTCCCCTCCCGGAGCTGAGGATAGAACCCAGGAGTCCTGGCTCCCAGCTCTGTGCTGTGGTAAATTAAAGTTGCCGCGAGCTAATCACCCTAAAAGACATTAAAAATCCTACGACGGACGGAGAACCTCGATGAAGACAAGTGCAGAGTACCTCAGGTCAGAAGGCGAAATCAAAGGCAAAACTCCAGACTGGGGCCTGGCTGGGTGGGGCCTGCCGACAAGGAGTGGGGGCCTACAGGGGTCACACCCTGGAGGAGTCGGCAACGTGACGCAGCTGTGAGCAAGGTGACTCTGGGGTGTGTTACCAGGAGCGTCGGACGGGAGACTGGGTCAGAGCTGCCGGGGTCCTCCCCCCCGCCTCCTCCGCCATCCCAGGGCCCCCCGGCACGCGCCGCGCAGCCCCCGGCCGACTCACCTGCCTCTGTGACTCATACAGGATCCGGTCCATCGTGTTGAGCAGCGTCATGGTCTTGTAGAACTTCAGCACCTGCTCCTGCGAGAGCTGCGGCGGAAGAGGGTGAGGAGCCGGGTCAGCACGGGGCCTGCCGCACCGGGCAACGGGGACGGCTCGGGGCTGCGGCTCCCAGCGCCGGGATCGTTACTGGCGATCCCGACTCAGCGATGGAGCCTGGGGGCTAGGCGAGCCCATGCCTGGGAGAAGCCGCAATGGTTCGGGCCCGTGTGTCAGGTGCTCGGTTACTGTGGCCGCACCAGCCAGGTCGATTGGGGGTGGGAGGGGGTGTTCGCCCCAGGCTGGCAGGGAAGGGGTTAAAACAGCCTAGGGAGGCCACGTAGGGCGCAGCCAATCAGAGACAGGCTTCACGGAGCAGCCAGTCAGGGCCCAGCGGGCTGACATAAAAGGGAGGGGCAGGGCAGCAGGGGCAGTCGCTGCTGAAAGCCGGTGGCTGCAGGGAGGTAGCTCCTCGGACAGCGCAGCTGCTGGCAGGGACCAGGGGAAGGAGAGGGAGCTCCTGGCTGCTGGGACGTGGGGGCTGGGGGCCCGGGGCCGCGGAGAACTGAAACAGCGAGAAGTTAAGGAGAGGCAGCAGGAGGCTGCTAGCTACAGGGGCCAGGACCTGGAGTAGTGGGTGGAGCCTGGTGACCCCTCCCCCTGGTGGCACGGCCAGAGGATGAGAGAGAGCTAATCCCTGAAATGGCCAGCAGGAGGCGCTGCTCTGGTGCGTGGATCCGTCACAAGGGGACACGACAACAGCCAGCAGACTTTCCAGAGTCCAGCCCCACATAGGGAGGTAGCGAGGGGTGGGAAGCAACGGGGTGAAATGCAGGGGAACAGGGATAGGAGAGCAGTGTTTTGACACGACACCAGGCAGAGCCCCGGGGGACAGACTAGGTGCATCCTGCCCCTGCCATGTGTCCAGCTGTGGGGGACAGCCCAGAGGACGATCCTGCACGGGCGGGGTGGAGGAGATGAGACCTGGGCTCCACCCCCCGCAGATCCTGCCAGCGTCTCGCGCTCACATGAGGATCTTCGTCCGGGTTAATGATCTGTCCCTGCCGGTCCATGACCCGGTAGATGGGGATCCCAGAGATCGCGTTGGGCTGGATAAAATCCAGCTTGTCCACGAAGTCGGCCGAGGCTCCGGGAAACTGCGGCTTCTCCTCCAGGGAGGTGAACTCCTGCTGCTGCCGGAGTACATGCTGGGGGGAGGACAGGGTGCAGGTGAGGCGGGAGAGCAGCACTCTGACATGTCTCCCCCACGTGTCCATGGAGCACCATGGGAGTGACACGTAGCCAGCGGGGCCCCGCGCTTGTAGGGACGTGTTGCCGGGTTGGGTGCGCTCAGGGCTTTGCCAGCGAAGTTGATTAAATGATTATGATTTATTCTTTGTATTGCAGCAGCACCGGGTAGCCCCAGCCGTGGGCCAGCCCCACAGGCGCCAGGCGCTGCACAAACGCAGAACAAAGAGACAGTCCCTGCCCCTGGGTTTATAAGCTTAGCAAATCTTGAACTGCTGCATACACAGCTGGGTGGACTCACAGCAGGGGTGTAATCAAGCAGATATTAACGACACGGATGCCCCTTTCCCAGCTAGCTACAGCCGAAGGAAGCCAAGGAGAGGCTGGCAGCTGGCCCATCTACGAATCCTGCAGCTTTTTAAAGTTTCCTCCATGAATCAATTTGGGGCGCCCTTCACTTTGGCCACACACGACTCTCCAAGGCAGGTGCGTGGCAGGCGGGGAGCCCGGCAAGGTTATGTTAGGAGGCCTGGGGATTTTCGCCCCCGAGCCCTGTTTTAACAGCTGATTAAATTTGTTTGCGCTTAGATCCAGGGCTGGGAGCAGGTTAGACTGAACAAACACCATGCCCTTGTTTATGTTAGTTCAAGGCCACGCGAAGCAGGGACTGACATTGAAAGCCGGCCCACTCGGGCCAGCTGTCAACACCCGTCTATGCGAGAGCATGACCAGAGCGCGCCCGGTGAGAAAACCGGCCCAAAGGAAAGAGCGGTTAGCGGACCAGCTGCGGGGGGTGAGAGCGCCCAGTGGGGAGCCACACTGAGCCCCTCTGCAGGGCTGGGCCCCGGGGAGCCCGGAAAACGCCCCTCTCAGCACCAGACGCTGGGCCCGTAAGAGGTATCACCGCACCCCCCTTGTCTCCCTGATCTCAACACGCCCTTGCCAACGTAAAGATGGCGTTTGACACGGGCTCCGGGCCCACTTCCCTTACACCCCCCAGAATGGACCATTCACGGCCGAGCGAACCGTCAGGAAACTATAACCTGGCCCGTCAACATCCCCACCCTGGGCCCAGCCGCGAAGACCCCCCCAGACCCAGCCGCGAGTCTCTTCCCGGGATTACAACGGGGGGTGAACTCCCCATGTCCCCCTCCCCGTATGAGCTGCCCCACGGATTGGGGGGGGGCACCCGGTGCTTTAATAGATTAACCCTAATGGGCTCGTCCTGCCCCTCCAGGCCAGCACGAGCCTCCCTGTTTGAAATGGGGAAACTGAGGCACTGGGCACGGCGGCACGTGGGGAACAAGGGACGGGGCTGGGAGCGGGCCCCGGGAACCCAGTTTAGACCCCTCTGCTCCAGGCACCGGCCCAGGCGCCCCGGCCAGGCCGGCCCAGGGAAACCAGGCGTCCTGAGCCCCCCCCCCCCCCGCCGCCAGGGACTCCACGGACACTAACCCCCCGGCCCAGGGGTAGGGGCCGATCCCGCCCTCGGAGCTGTGTGCAGGGCCCGGGGTCCCCCCTCCCCCAAGGGCAGGATCAGGGCCCAGCCCCCCCGCTCCCCACCTCTGCCCCCCAATTCCCTCTGCCCCCGCTCCCCACCTCTGTCCCCCTGCTCCCTTCTGCCCCCTCCGCTCCCCACCTCTGCCCCGCAATTCCCTCTGCCCCCCGACCCCCACCTCTACCCCCCTGCTCCCCACCTCTGCCCCCCAATTCCCTCTGCACCCCCACTCCCCACCTCTGCCCCCTGCTCCCTTCTGCCCCCCAATTCCCTCTGCCCCCGCTCTCCACCTCTGCCCCCCAATTCCCTCTGCCCCCTGCTCCCTTCTGCCCCCTCCGCTCCCCCACCTCTGCCCCCCAATTCCCTCTGCCCCCGACCCCCACCTCTACCCCCCTGCTCCCCACCTCTACCCCCCAATTCCCTCTGCCCCCGCTCCCCACCTCTGTCCCCCTGCTCCCTTCTGCCCCCTCCGCTCCCCACCTCTGCCCCCCAATTCCCTCTCCCCTGCTCCCCACCTCTGCCCCCCAATTCCCTCTGCACCCCAATTCCCTCTGCCCCCGCTCCCCACCTCTGCCCCCCGCCCCCCCTCCCTTCTGCCCCCCAATTCCCTCTGCCCCCCGACCCCCACCTCTACCCCCCTGCTCCCGCACCTCTGCCCCCCAATTCCCTTTGCACCCCCACTCCCCACCTCTGCCCCCCGCTCCCTTCTGCCCCCAAATTCCCTCTCCCCCCCCCCACCTCTGCCCCCCGCTCCCTTCTGCCCCCCCTCCCCCTCTGCCCCCGCTCCCCACCTCTGCCCCCCAATTCCCTCTGCCCCCGACCCCCACCTCTACCCCCTGCTCCGCACCTCTGCCCCCAATTCCCTTTGCACCCCCACTCCCCACCTCTGCCCCCCGCTCCCTTCTGCCCCCAATTCCCTCTGCCCCCCGCTCCCCACCTCTGCCCCCCAATTCCCTCTGCCCCCCGCTCCCCACCTCTACCCCCCAATTCCCTCTGCCCCCTGCTCCCTTCTGCCCCCTCCGCTCCCCACCTCTGCCCCCTATTCCCTCTGCCCCCCGCTCCCCACCTCTGCCCCCTGCTCCCTTCTGCCCCCAATCCCTCTGCACCCCCGCTCCCCACCTCTGCCCCCCAATCCCTCTGCCCCCCGCTCCCCACCTCTACCCCCCAATTCCCTCTCCCCCGCTCCCCACCTCTGCCCCCCTATTCCCTCTGCCCCCCGCTCCCCACCTCTGCCCCCTGCTCCCTTCTGCCCCCAATTCCCTCTGCCCCCCGCTCCCCACCCCTGCCCCCCCGCACTCACGGCGGTGCCGAGGCCCCGGGCCCCCCGCGGGCCCCGCAGCAGCACCAGCCCCAGGCCCCGCCGCAGCCCCCAGCCCGCCGCCATCTTGCTGCGGGAGGCGGGGCCGCCCCGGAGCCCGGCCCCCTTGCCCCGAGGTGCCCGCCCCCTCCCGGTCCCCATGGCAACAGCGACCCCGCCCCCTCCCGGTCCCCATGGCAACAGCGCCCGCTCTCCATCACCATGGTAACGGGGTGACCCCTCCCCCGCACGTGGCCCGAGGCGGCGCTGATGGGCGGGGCTCCGGCCGGTTCCCCGCGCCCCGGAAGCGGAAGTGGGGTCGCGCCGCGGGGGTCAGGGGGCGGGGCCGGTCTCCGCGCGGGGCTCCGGGGCGCGATGGGCTCCGAACCGGGGGGCTGCGGCCTGCGCCGCTTCTCCTGCGAGCTGGGCCCGCTCGGCCGCCCCGACGGCTCCGCCGCCCTCCTGCAGGGTGAGCCCGGGGCCCCCCGGGACCCCCCCGGGACCCCTAGAGCCCCCCGGGACCCCCCGGGACCCCTAGAGCCCCCCGGAAATCCCCGTCACCCCTAGAGCCCCCCGGGACACCCCCGGGACCCCTAGACCCCCCCCGGAAATCCCCGTCACCCCTAGAGCCCCCCGGGACCCCTCGTCACCCCTAGAGCCCCCCGGAAATCCCCGTCACCCCTAGAGCTACCCCGGGACCCCCGGACCCCCGTCACCCCTAGAGCCCCCCGGGACCCCCCGTCACCCCTAGACCCCCCCCGGAAATCCCCGTCACCCCTAGAGCCCCTGGGACCCCCGTCACCCCTAGAGCCCCCCGGAAATCCCCGTCACCCCTAGAGCTACCCCGGGACCCCCCGTCACCCCTAGAGCCCCCCGGAAATCCCCGTCACCCCTAGACCCCCCGGAAATCCCCGTCACCCCTAGAGCCCCCCGTCAGCCCTAGACCCCCCGGGACCCCCGTCAGCCCTAGACCCCCGGGACCCCGTCATAACCCCGGACCCCCTCACCCCTAGACCCGAGCCCTCGGACCCCTCACCCCTAGACCCCCCAACCCCCCGGACCCCCGTCACCCTGGGACCCCCCGCCCCCTCACCCCCAAGCCCCCGGGACCCCCCCTCACCCTAGACCCCCGGACCCCTCACCCCTAGACCCCCCGGGACCCCCGTCACCCCTAGACCCTCCCAGGAGCCCCCGGGACCCCCATCACCCCTAGACCCCCGGGACCTCTAGACCTCCCATGGGACCCCCCGGCCGGGACCCGACCCCCCAGGCCTCCGGGACCAGGCCCCCCGGGACCCCTCACGTCGCTCTAGAACCCCCCGGGACCCTAGACCCCCAGGACCACCCCGGGACCCCCCATCAACCCTAGACCCTCCCAGGACCCCCTTGGCCGGGACCTCCCCGTTCATCCCTATTCCCCCCGAGACTCCCCGTCAACCCTAGACCCCCCGGGACCTTCATCACCCCTATTCCCCCCTGGAACCCCCGGCACCCCCCCGTCAACCCTAGACCCCCCCGGGACCCGAACCCCCGGGACCGAACCCCGTTCACCCCATTCCCCCCGGGACCCCGTCAGCCTAGACCCCCGGGACCCCCGTCAGCCCTAGACCCCCGGGACCCCGTCAGCCCTAGACCCCCCGGACCCCCCTCACCCCTAGACCCCCCAGGAGCCCCTCGGGACCCCTCACCCCTAGAGCCCCCCAGGACCCCCTCGACCCCCTCACCCTGGGACCCCCAGGGCCCCGTCACCCCAGAGCCCCCGGGACCCCCGGGCCCCCGTCACCCCTAGACCCCCCGGGACCCCCCGTCACCCCTAGACCCCCCCGGGACCCCCCGTCACCCCTAGACCCTCCCAGGAGCCCCCCCGGGACCCCCCCATCACCCCTAGACCCCCCGGGACCTCTAGACCTCCCATGGGACCCCCCCGGCCCGGGACCCGACCCCCCCCAGGCCTCCCGGGACCAGGCCCCCCCCGGGACCCCTCACGTCGCCTCTAGAACCCCCCCCCGGGACCCCTAGACCCCCCCCAGGACCACCCCCGGGACCTCCCCATCAACCCTAGACCCTCCCAGGACCCCCCTTGGCCCGGGACCTCCCCGTTCATCCCTATTCCCCCCCGAGACTCCCCCGTCAACCCTAGACCCCCCCCCCCGGGACCTTCATCACCCCTATTCCCCCCTGGAACCCCCCCCGGCACCCCCCCGTCAACCCTAGACCCCCCCCGGGACCAACCCCCCGGGACCCGAACCCCCCGGGACCCGAACCCCCCGTTCACCCCATTCCCCCCCCCCCAGGACCCTCCCGGGATCCCCCCTCACCCCTGGACCTTCCCCGGGACCCCCCTCACCTCTATTCCCCCCGCGGGATCCTCCCCTCCCCCGAAACTTCCTCCTGGGCCCCCCCATGACCCCTATTCTCCCATGTCACCCCTACACCCCTGGCCCCCTACACGGGCTGCCCCTTATTCCCGTCTCCCTCCCCCCACACCCCACTGGTCCTCTCATCCGACCATTCCCTGGGGCTCCCCAGGGACCCCAACCTCCCTGCCCTCCTCCACCCCAAGGGCTCTTTCTCCACCCACTTGTTCTCCCCTCGGCCCAGGGACCCGCTTATCCCCCTGCCCTGTGGGTAGTGGGTTTGTCTCCCCCAAAGGGAGCGGCTAGTCTCCCCTTCCCACCCCGTCCGCAGGTAGAGGGAGGGCTCCCCAATTCCCCCGTCTGGGGGGTGTCTCCTCTGGAAGTCCCTCCGTGGTCCCAATTTGGCCCTCTCTCATTGCCTGGCCAGCAGGGGCTGTTGGAGACACCTCCCCCATCCCAGACAGAGCTCAGGGGGGCGTTTGCCATCAGCTGAGTTCGGGGACCCCCTTCTTGGGAGCCTGGGGCCTGCCTCTGGGGCCTGCCCCCTGCCGTGGGCTTGCGATTCCTGTCCTGGCTCCGCTCCCGGGGCAGAAGCTGGGGGAAGCCCAGGGGCTGTGTCTGACCTGGCTCTCGCCTCTCCTCTCAGGGGACACCTCGGTCCTCGCTGGCTTGTACGGCCCGGCGGAGGTGAAAGTCAGCAAGGAGCTGTACGACAAGGCCACAGTGGAAGTGCTGCTCAAACCCAAAGTGGGGCTCCCGGGTAAGTGACGGGGGGACAGAGAGCGCCCCCCATGGGCCTTGTCAGCGGTAAAGGGGGGCGTTGGCTGGGGTTGGGGGGCCTCACAGGCGGTGGCCAGGATTACGCCTCGAACAAAAGCTTGGAGGCTATTTAAAAACCAAACAAATCGCTATATCCTTCAAACCCCCCGCTGTTTACGCAATGTTTAAAATGAACCCTACGATAACAAGAGAATTTTATTAGCGTACTGAGTAGGGGGCTCGCCAGCAGCCCCACCATAACAATCTGTGCCCCCCTGCCATCACAAAGCAGCGTGCAGCTCTTAGGTCTCGTGGAGCAATTCTGCCACGATCCGATACCCCCCCCGCACGTCCAGCTCCAGCTTCCGTGAGCTCCGATGATACGGGGCGTCTGAGCGGCCCCGAGCGGTCCCCGTTGAGACCCCGTGAGGGGAAGTGGCTGCGCGTGGCCTCATCCCTGAGCCCAGCGGGGATTTACAAGGTGGGGGCGGGGTTGTGCCGTCTTTTTTGGAGCCCGTCGCCCTCTAGCGAAACGGGACGCGTGTCCCGTTGGGATACAGATCACGGTGCTGCAGCTTGGGTCGCGCCGTCTCCCCGGCGGGCGGAGGGTTGGACGGACCTTGGGTCGAGTCTCTGCTCTGCCACGGGTTTGGTCAAGTCACTGCAGGTCGGTGCCTCGTGTGTGCAATGGGGTAACAGCATTGCCCTGCCAGGGATATGTGTGTGTGTAAATCCACTGAGGATTGTGAGGTGCTGACCTGCTACGGGAATGGTGGCCAGATAAGACTCATGGGTGGATGGGGGAGCCCTGTGCAGTGGGGGGAGTGAACGGAGGGATCCGTGCAGGGGGGTGTGGCGGGACAGACAGACAATAGCTTGACATAAGGCCATGTAGCCTCCTAAACGCTCCCCTCTGTCTGGATTGTGCCACAATGGCGGTGTTAACCCCTGGTGGGCTCTCCCCTGCCCCTGGGGCTCATCGGGTCGGTTCCCTGCAGCTGGGCCCCCTGGAGCCCTGCCCCACAAACTGTTAGCATCTCTCCCGCTTTCTGGATCTCGGCAGGCTGCTTTTTTTAAACTGTCAGATTCCCAGGGGCGCTTCCACAGCAAATAATTAAATTAAGAAACAACGGGAGGATTTTCCTCTGCAGAACTGTTGACATTTCTCAGCTTTGTCGCACTGACTCTTGCTGGAGAAACAGCCTTGTGTAGCCAGAGCCGCCCGGCGAGCGTGGGCTCGGGCGTAACGTCGCCGGGGCAGGACTCTCTCTCCGTAGACGAGATAAAGGGGGGAGAATTCTCCCCCACTTTTCAGATGGGGAAACTGAAGCAAGCTGTTTGCATGCGTGGAAGGGACTGGCCTTGTGGGTAAGGCTCTAGACTGGAAGTCAGGACCCTGCCCTGCTCCAGGGTCCCTGTCTGACTCATCCAAGTCCCTTCTCCTTCCATTTGTCCTGTGTATTTAGGGCTTAAGCTGTCTGCAGCACCCGGAAGGACGGGGGCCTCCCCAATCTTGGGCGGGGGATGGGGCAGTTGTGGGGCAGCACCCGGCATGGCGAGGGACCCAGATCTCAGCTGGGGGGCTTTGGGGCACTGCCTGGCACGTCGGGGGTGCAGTCTGCGTTGGGACGTCTGTGCGCTGGCGTCATACAGGCTAATCAGGCAGATGGCTCATGGGGGAGAGCACAGAGCTGGCGGGGGGAGAGCACGGAGCTGAAGAGGAGCTGGTTTTGTAGGGACGGAGGGTTGCTGGGGGGTTTTGTCCAGCTCCCGGTGTGCCCTTCCCTGGCTCAGCCTGGCCCCCCTCTCTCCTTCCCCCAGGTGTCTTTGAGAAGAACCGGGAGCAGCTGATCAGGAAGACATGTGAGGCGGCTCTCCTGGGCGCCCTGCACCCCCGGACCTCCATCACCATTGTGCTGCAGGTGATCAGCGACGCGGGCTCCGTATCCTTCACAGGCAGCCCAGCCAGGGGCGCTCTCCCGCGGGTGCCCTCCTGCTCTTCCTGCCCGAGCCCTACGGGAACTACTGGCTGTCGCCTCTAGGTGGCAGCAGCGCTGTGGCAGTGGCCATCCTGGGGGTATGCCCCAGTGCGCCAGGGAAGGTTGGTCTCCCATCGGGCCCGGGGCTGCAGCCTTCCCGTTACACTGAAACCAGCCTGGAGATTCGAAGGGGGAATGGCAGCCTGGGGTCCCCACACACGGCTCTGCTGGTGCCCATCAGTCCCGACCCGCAGCCCCCTGCTCGCCCAACCCTGGGCTCACCCCAACTCTGCCGGTGCCCCTCACTCCCGATCCACAGCCCCTGCTCGCCCAGTCCTCTGTCAGTGAGAGCAGAGGAACCAGGTGTCAACCTGGGCTCCTGGGACAGGCTTGGCTGCAGAGCGGGCGGGGCAGCAGAGCCTTCCCAGGGCACTGGAGGAATTTAATTATGGCGTGAGATGCGGGTGGGAAGTGACAAGGTCTCCGGCTCTGGGGTGTGAGCCAGGCGTGGGGATTAGCGGCAGCCAGGGGTGTCGGATTCCATCTGAACAGAGGCAGGAGTGATGACTTAATTCGGCCTTGCCGGGAAGGGCTCTCGCTTTTCACTGAGCCAAATCCCCGGGGGAGGATTAGCGCTGGCAGGAAGGGCGTGGGACCCAGCCGGAGCCTTTCCACCTGCAGCAACCGCCCGGCGGGGTCCTGCTCCGGGCGGGGGGGCCCCTACGTGCTACCCCAAGACCCCTAGTACACATACAGCCCCCGGGGGGTTCTGGTCCATTCGGGACTGCTAGGCACAGCCGTAATGCACCTAATACGTGAGGACCAGTGCCCAGCACAAAGGAGTTATGGGCCGGGCCTCCCAGTTATGGAGCAGGACTCCATTGTGCTAGGTGCTGTGTGTGTTAGGTGTATTATGGTAAGACCTAGGCACCCCAGTTATGAACCATAGCTAGGCACTGTACATTTCTTCGGTGTGGTAACGTGGTAGGAGCCCGAAATGGACCAGTCCAGAACTCCAACTTTTTGGGTGCTGTACATCTATTAGGTGTATTATGGTAGTACCTTAGGGTCCTGGCCCTACTGTAATGCACCTAATAAATAACTGGAGCTCCAGCTTGGTACTGCTCTCTTATTAGGTGTATTATGGTAGTGCCTAGCAAAGCCAGGTCTGGGTCAGGACCCCAGGATACTACCGTAATACACCTAGTAAGTGAACAGTAGCTAGCGCCATGGGGGGCTGGCCCATGGCGCGCCCCCAGATGCTCCTGCAGCTGCCACACAGGCTGGGCCCCTGGAGGGGGGCTGGGCCCCTGGAGAGGGAGCCAGACCCCAGGGAGGCTGGGGGTGGGTTACTTATGGGCAGGAGCTGGTTGGTTACGGGCTTGGTGGGCTCCACATGTCCAGTGAAATGTTAGAGCCCTCAGGCCCCATTCAGAGAGTCAGGACTACTGGGTTCTCTTCCCAGCTCCGGCGAGGGGTGGGGTCTTGAGGTTGGGGCAGGCAGAGACTGGGGGGCAGGACTCCTGGGTTCTGTTGTGCTCCAGGAGGGAGGCCGATTGTGGAGTGTTTGAAGCCATGCGGTGCCCCAGGGAAGCCAAGCGTTACTAGGCTGCCCTCTTTAAAGGGGAATTGAATTGCTGTTGAAAACGCCTGCAGCATGCCCGGTTCAGCTGGAGGCGGTGCTTAGCTCTGGTGACAGGCGCTAGCCTGATGGCCCTGGAGCCGGGCTCCTCCAAGTGACCACCCGCCATAGGCAGCACCCCCTGCACAGCCACTCAGGTGTGGAAACTGAGGCACGGAGAGAGCAAGTAGCTTGCTCAGGGTCACACAAATCTGTGGCAGAGCCAGGGATAGAACCCAGGAGTCCAGACTCCCAGCCCCCACTGCTCTAACCACGAGACTCCCCTCCCCGAGCTGGGGATAGAACCCAAGAGTCCTGGCTCCCAGCCCCCTGCGGCCCCCACATCCTCCAGACCCTGCAGATCCAGGTGCGCTTTCCAGCTGAGGCGACCTCTGCATGTGCTGAAATAGGGACTTATGGCCCCTCTGAAGAAACAAGTGGTGGTTTCCCTCCGTGTAGCACGCAGCGGCCAAGAGCTGGGGTCAGCGCTGCTGGGGCTGTTAGCGAGGACGGCCTGCGGCACCCCTCCCTGTTAATTAGCTGCCAGCTTTTCCTTGACCCGGTACCCAGCTGCTGGCCTGCTGCCTGAACGCGGCCTGCATGGGGCTGATGGACGCTGGCCTGCCCATGAAGTCTCTCTTCTGTGGGGTGACGTGCACCCTGGACGCCACTGGGGCCATCGGCCTCGACCCCACGGCCAAGCAGGAGAAGGTGGGTGTGGGACCGCCCAGGGCCAGGCGGCTGTGCCCCAGGGGTGTCTGGGTTTAGCGCCATGGTGTCCCCACGGGACTAGAAGCAGCACCCAGCACAAGGGGGGCCCCTGATTGGGGGGGGGGGGGGCAGGGTCTGTGCCGTGCCTTGCACAATCTGGGGCGGGGGGGGGGGTGTTCCTTCCTGACCCTGTGCTGACGGGTGCCCTGGAGCATGGAGCTGAGCTACCTCCGCTCCTCCGAGCCTGAATGCTCTTAATGGTTCGTAAACGTTGCCAGCCCCTGACCCTCCTGCCTGGCGGCGGGAATCAATGCTCCCCCACTCTCCCCACAGGCCTCATCTGCTCCGTGTGTACCGAGAGCGGGGTCTAGCAGTGAGAATGGGAGCCAGGATTCTTCTCTGGCTTTGGGAGTGGAGAGGGGGTCTAGTGGTTAGAGCAGCGAGGCGACTGGGAGTCAGAAATAGGTGAAACTGAGGCAAAATGCGAGGTGGTGACCTCTGGGAGCAGAAATAGTGAAGTCGAAATAATCCCACTTCATGGGGGCAGTCGGTGTGACCTGTGGAATTCTCCACCACTGGATGCTGGCACGAGCAGGCTGCCTGGCTAACGGGTCTGATGCGAGGGGAGTTGTGTGTTCTGCATCGGGCTGGGGTCCGTTAGCGAAGGGACCACAGAGGTGGGAGCCTGGCCTGCGAGGGTCCTAGGATGAACGGGAAAGGCTCCGACGTGGGCGGGCAGCTCACGCTCTCCCCCTTCCCTTGCAGGAGGCTCGGGCTGTGGTGACCTTCGCCATCAGCAGCGTGGAGCGGCAGGTGCTCATGTCCACCACCAAGGGGACCTGCTCGGTGGAGGAGGTGAGCAGGGCGTGGCTGGGCGGCTGGGCCGCCAGGCGCGGGGGCAAACCCGGCTTTAAGACCCATGGGAGCAGGGGGCGGAGGGGTTGGATCAGGCTCGGAGATCTCATGTGGGGGGGTGCCGGGAGCTCTGTGTGACCCCTGCCGGGTGGAGACGGATCTGCTGGCAGCAGGGCTGAGTTTGGGGTGCGGTGCCGTGGCCGGGAACTGGGGCTCCGGGGTGTCGCTGAACTCAGCAGGGTGCGGAGCAGCTGGGATTATGGGGGGGCCAAGCCCCGTACAGGCCCGGCGTGAGACAAGAAAGGTGGGGTGCCGCTGAGGCAGGGGAGGGGAATCCCCGGGGGGTGGGAGGAAGGACCCCGGTCCGCTAGGGCAGGCTGTTAGTATTCCCGACCCGGCGCGTTGCTGGGGAGCAGGCGGGACCATGGATGTGTTCTTGGCTGTCCCAGACAAACGGTTCTGCCAGGCCGAGCAGCCGGCCTGGGCTGAATCCCAGTTAGGTTTGGCTGCTTGAAAACCCTTTTCCTCCTCCTGGGTCTATTGAACGGGGCAGGGCACGGATCCCCCCTCGGGGCGAGGGGCCGCCGAGCGGTCCTGCTGGTTCGGTCGGGGTGGGGGTCCCGAGCGCCTCGGCTCCCCTCTGTGCCCGCGAGGGGTCACTTCAGCACCCCGGCACGTCCGGCCACAGCAGCTGCTCAGTGTCAGCTGGTGGGTCTCCGGCGGGGCCCTGCCTTCGCCCCACGGCGCAGCAGCGTGCAGGATCTGAGGGGGGTGGGAAGCCCCCCCGGAGAATCCCCCGTGCATGGAGCCTGCGCTGCATCCCCTGTGCTGGCATAGCGGGTGTGGCCAGAGCGCACTGCTGGGGCTGGTCTCTGCCCCCCGGGGGGGGGTGTGCACATTGCTTTCCAGTGCACGGCTGTGTCTGTGTGCGTCGCTCTGGGGGGGGGGTGTGCGTTGCTCGGGGGTGTGTGCGTTGCTCTGGGGGGGGGGTGCACGCACATTGCTTTCCGGTGTGTGGTTGTGATTCTGCGCATTCGTTGCCGTGTTTTGTGGCCGTTGCTTTGCAGCACACGGCTCTGGCTGTGTGTGTTGCTCTGGGGGTGGGGGGGGCGGGTGTGCGTCGCTCTGGGGGGGTGTGCGTTGCTCGGGGGGGGTGCGTTGCTCTGGGGGGGGGTGCGCGCACATTGCTTTCCGGTGTGTGGTTGTGATTCTGCGCACTCGTTGCCGTGTTTTGTGGCCGTTGCTTTGCAGCGCACGGCTCTGGCTGTGTGCGTCGCTGTGGGGGTGGGGGGGCGGGGGGCGTTGCTCGGGGGGTGCGTTGCTCTGGGGGGGTGCGCGACATTGCTTTCCGGTGTGTGGTTGTGATTCTGCGCACTCGTTGCCGTCTTGTGTGGCGTTGCTTTGCAGCGCACGGCTCTGGCTGTGTGCGTCGCTCTGGGGGTGGGGGGGGCGGGTGTGCGTCGCTCTGGGGGGTGTGCGTTGCTCTGGGGGGGGGGTGCGTTGCTCTGGGGGTGGGGGGGTGCACGCACATTGCTTTCCGGTGTGTGGTTGTGATTCTGCGCACTCGTTGCCGTGTTGTGTGGCCGTTGCTTTGCAGCGCACGGCTCTGGCTGTGTGCGTTGCTCTGGGGGTGGGGGGGGCGGGTGTGCGTCGCTCTGGGGGGGTGTGCGTTGCTCTGGGGGTGGGGGGGCGGGGGTGCGTTGCTCGGGGGGGTGCGTCGCTCTGGGGGTGGGGGGGGCGGGTGTGCGTCGCTCTGGGGGTGTGTGCGTTGCTCTGGGGGTGGGGGGGCGGGGGTGCGTTGCTCGGGGGGGGGTGCGTCGCTCTGGGGGTGGGGGGTGTGCGTTGCTCTGGGGGGGGGGTGCGCGCACATTGCTTTCCGGTGTGTGGTTGTGATTCTGCGCACTCGTTGCCGTGTTGTGTGGCCGTTGCTTTGCAGCGCACGGCTCTGGCCTGTGTGCGTCGCTGTGGCGTGGATGGTTGTGGTTCTGTGCGCACGCATTGCCGTCCTGTGCCCCCACGGCTGCCAGCGTGTGGCTGTGTCTGTGTGCGTCGCTGTGGTGTGGGCTTGCGTCGGCCCCGTGGACGCACATCACAGCCTGCGGCTGCGGCTCCGTGCGCCTGTTGCCCCCGGGCTGCGTGTGCGCGTCCCCCCCGGTCTCTGGCTGTCCCAGCCGGCTGCCGCTCGATCCGTTCCCTGCCCAGCCTGGGGGCTGCGGCGAGCTAATTGCCTTGACGTTCAGAGCCTCGCTGCTGGGGGGCCCGGATCTCAGCCCTGCCTGCGTGGGGGACTGACCACCGGGGGGCGGGGGGCCATTCGCTGGCTGGCTCTTAACCCTTCAGTGCCCTGGCAGGGGATCGGACGGGCGAGAGCGCTGATGCTGGGCCATGCTGCGTTTGCAGCTCAGCTCTGCGCTCCTGTTTCCCTCCAGGCCCTGTGAAATCTTCTTCCTGGGGTCAGGAGTGAGGGGCACCGGCAGGGCTGGTGGGGAGCCCAGGGCTGGGCTAGCAGGGGCTGTGGGGCGGGAGTGAGGGGTACCGGCAGAGCTGGTGGGAGCCCAGGGCTGGGCTAGCAGGGGCTGTGGGTCGGGAGTGAGGGGTACCGGCAGAGCTGGTGGGAGCCCAGGGCTGGGCTAGCAGGGGCTGTGGGTCGGGAGTGAGGGGCACCGGCAGAGCTGGTGGGAGCCCAGGGCTGGGCTAGCAGGGGCTGTGGGTCGGGAGTGAGGGGGTACCGGCAGAGCTGGAGGGAGCCCAGGGCTGGGCTAGCAGGGGCTGTGGGTCGGGAGTGAGGGGCACCGGCAGAGCTGGTGGGGAGCCCAGGGCTGGGCTAGCAGGGGCTGTGGGTCGGGAGTGAGGGGTACCGGAGAGCTGGTGGGAGCCCAGGGCTGGGCTAGAGGGGTGTGGGTGGGAGTGAGGGGTACCGGCAGAGCTGGAGGGAGCCAGGGCTGGGCTAGCAGGGGCTGTGGGTGGGAGTGAGGGGACGGAGAGCTGGTGGGAGCCCAGGGTGGGCTAGAGGGGCTGTGGGTGGGAGTGAGGGGACCGGCAGAGTGGTGGGAGCCAGGGCTGGGCTAGAGGGGCTGTGGGTCGGGAGTGAGGGGCACCGGCAGGGCTGCGGGGGGCAGGACTGGGCTAGCAGGGGGCTGTGGGTCAGGAGTGAGGGGCACCGGCAGAGCTGGTGGGAGCCCAGGGCTGGGCTAGCAGGGGCTGTGGGTCGGGAGTGAGGGGCACTGGCAGAGCTGGTGGGGAGCCCAGGGCTGGGCTAGCAGGGGCTGTGGGTCGGGAGTGAGGGGCACCGGCAGAGCGGGGCGGGGAGTCACTGTGGCACTTTGCTTGGGGCTGGCATGTGCCCAGCTGTTGCCCAGGGGCAGAATTTCAGGCCCTTTCAGCCGCGTCTGGTTTCCCAATCACTCCCGGGCGGCTGGCGCTGGGGGCAGAGCCGCTGAGGGCAGGGTGGGTGGGTAGGTGGCCTGTCGGATCCTCTCAACTCCCATGTGGGGCCGGGGGGGTGGCTCTGAGCCCCAGTTGAGGGCTTGCCTTCCATTGCCCTCTGAGGGGCCAGTGGGGAGCGACCCCTGGGATCCCCTGGGCTGTTTTCTCCCCTCCTGTGCGCTGCGGGGCGAGGGTGGGCTGCCTGCAGGAAAAGGGTGCCAGGGGGCTGGGAGCGAAGGGTTCCCCTCCTGGGTGTGGGGCAACTTTGAATGATTGATGGGGAATCACAGCCCCAACCTGGTTGCTACGGTGACGGGAGGTAGGGTGCTGGGATGGCAGCTCTCCTCCCATTCCCCCCCTCACACTTCTGGGCTGGCCATGGGGCTGGGTGGGGAGTGTGGAGGTCCTGGCCCAGAGGGAGGACCTGGGGGGTGTTCCCCTCATGAATTACAGGGAGGGTGAAGGGGATCAGGCCCCCCCTTCCTGGGGATGGGGAATCAGGGCCCCCCCTCCCCCCCAGGCCTCTCGGGGCAGGTTGGTCGGCGGAACTGTCCCATGATGCCCCGGCAAAGTGAAGAGCCTTCTCCTCTGCAGCCCGAGCCTGGGTGGGGGGCAGGTGTTGGGAGCCCCTGGGGACAGAGCCAGCCCAGCACCTGCCGTGAGGGCCTGTCTCTGGGGGTCTCCCCGCTCTAACCACCCGTCTCCCCGCTCCTCCCCAGCTGCAGCAGTGCATCGCAGCCGCCCAGCGAGCCAGCGGTGCCATCTTCCAGTTCTACCGGGACTCCGTCCGCAGGAAATACTCCAAGACGTGAGGCTTGGCCCCCAGCCGGGTCCCGGATCCCTGCCGAGCGGGGACCCCTGTCGGTGCGTCCAGCCTGTGAAACTGCTCTCCCGGCTCCTGCCCGTCACGCACAGGCTACGCCCAGATCACCCCAAACCCGGCGTTTGCCGCGATGAACTCTGTGCATTGGGGCCCATTAAAAAGGGGGCATCCCCCCGTCTGTCTGTGTGTCCAGCCAGCCGTCTGCGCCGTGTGTGGGATGGGAGCGTGTCCTTTGGCCGTGCGATTGCCCCCCAGGCCCACTGCTGTTCTGCAGGGCTCTCCCTGCCTCCTGGCTTTTCCTTTTCCCTCCAGCAGGGCCGGAGCTGGCAGCCAGATTCTGAGCACTTCGTCCTGGCGCACCTCGAGCTGCCCGGTCCACGGAGCCCCGGCTGCCACATTGTGGATGCGACAGGAGGGAAACTGAGGCCTGGCGGGGGTGCTGGTCTCCCCTCCCAGCGCCAATCTCCACCTGGCCCTGCTGCAGGGAAGCTCTCACCTGGCAGGGCCCGGTGGGCAGACATCTGGACCCCTCCACACCCAGGTGTTTCAGTCCATCTGTCACCAAGCTGGGTCAGGGCCAGCCCCGGTCCACAGTGCTCCCCCCACGGTTAACCCCTTGTGTACTGGGACAAGGATTTGGGGAGGGCAGGGGGTTGTTGGCCAAAGCCCCTGCCCAATGTGTGCTGCGGGGTGGTGACGAGAGTTAAACTGTCAGGGGATTCGGGTCAGGGGCAGATTTGCAGGGGAAATCCAGTGTAAACCCAGGCAGGAAATGTCAGTGACCCATGGGCTGATTTCTCTCTCTCTCCTTTCATTGGCTCGTTCCCCCGTTTTATTTACCCTTCTCGGCCCCGGCCCCCGCCCCTTCTCGCACCCCGGATCAGGGCCGAACCCACCTGCCTGAGCCCAGCTCGACGGCTGCAGCCGGGCACTGCTGTGCCCCGGGGTGAAAGTAGGTGACACGTTCATTCCTTCCCTGTGTCCTCCTTTCTCCCCTCCTTCGTTTCCCCCTTCCCGCTCCGTGGCTTTTCCCCTCTGCCCTACCCGCAGCCTGCTCCGAATCCCCTTGGCCGGAGTCCCTTTTCTGTGCTCTGATCTCTCCCCCACCGGGAGCGGGGCCCAGGCCAGCCGGGGTGGGGTGATCCTGTCTGCCCTGGGGTGGCCCCCAAGGAACTCTTGTTCGAAGGAGAAAAACCAGCCCCTGCTGGCGAGTGGTTCCCTGGTTCCTTCCCCTCCCCATTAAACGTTTCCACCTATTTCCAGCTCCCAGCCGGCTCCTGGCCGTGGACTGCAGCCCCCTCACTTTCCCGACTCGTTCCCCCCATGGGATCAGGTCGCCTGCTCGGCCGGTCTGCGGCTCGCGCTCAGGCAGGTTTTCCGATCCCAGGGTCATTCCACTGGCTCTTCTCTGACCCCTCTCCGGTTTGTCAGCGTCCTCCCCCCTAGAGCCCACTCCCCTCCTCGAAGTGGGCCCAGGAGTCTGGATTCCCCCGTTCTAACCCCAGACCCCACTGCGAGTCCTAGCCCAGCGTGCTCTCTGCCGTTTCCACCAAGGAGGCTATTAATGAGCATGTTCCGCCCGCTCTTGGAGCGGGAACAAAACCCCAGGGTAGCGTGGCCAGGTTTGCTGCAACCTGGAGGATCTGGCTGCTCAGCTTGGTTTTGGGGTCCCAGCATGAGCTGCGACCCCCCCCCCGCCTCAGCCTCCCTCCTCCCCAGGGTCCTTTGTGGACCTGGCACCCCCCCCGGCCTGGTCTGCTGATGGCCATGAAGCGCCCCCCTGGAGCCCTCTCCTTCAGCTGCAGTCCCCGTGTTGCACCCTCGCTGTGCTCCACCCCAGAGCAGCCGCGGCCTGTGTTCGCGGGTCCCCTGCAGTTACAGCCTGCGGGGAGGTAGCCAGTGTGACGAAGTGGGACTGTTCTTAATGTTTCCTCTGAATAGTGTGAGGGTGCCTCAGTTTCCCCTAGGCAGTTCTTAAGTATCTAGGGGGTGGGGTAAGGGTGTATGATCATTGCAGAGCCCTAGAGGGCAGGTGTGTGCAGGGGTCTGGACACAGAGAATGGCCAACACCCTGTTTCCTGGCAACTGATGGCCTGGGCCCTTCCCCCCTGCAAGGTGAGAGCTAAAGGGTTGGAGAACAAAGGAATCAGGTGACCACCTGGCCCGGGAAAGGAACAAAGCCCAGAGGAGGAGGGGCTGGAGGGGGTTTTCAGTTTGGGGCTGGCTGGGACATGGAGTGAAGTGCAGACGTGGTTGTCTGGCTCACTGCCCCCCAGAATGGACCCAGCTGAGGGGTCCCGTTCTCTGCACCTGCAAGCTCTGTTTTAGACCATGTTCCTGTCGTCTAATAAACCTTCTGTTTTACTGGCTGGCTGAGAGTCACGTCTGACTGCGGAGTTGGGGTGCAGGACCCTCTGGCTTCCCCAGGAGCCCCGCCTGGGTGGACTCGCTGGGGGAAGCGCACGGAGGGGCAGAGGATGCTGAATGCTCCGAGGTCAGACCAGGAAGGTGGAAGCTGTGTGAGCTGTGTGTCCTGAAGACAGGCTGCTCACAGAAAGGCGACTACCCCAGAATCCTGACTGACTTCATGGGGAGCAGTTCCAGAGACAGGGACTCCGTGACACTTGGCAGTGGTGGGATGTACTGCACCCTGGATGCCTCCTCAGAAGTGACTGGGGCAGTAACACGAAGGGGGATTGCCGAGGACCAGGCCTGCTGAAGGCTCAGAGAGGAGCGGTTTCGGGGGCGGTTAACCCCTGGGAGTGTGTGACCAGCGAGAAGGACTGTGCAGTAATGGGGTCCCCCTGGGGACTGCAGTGAGCAGTCTCAGGGGCGGAGGAGCCTGCAGCTTGGCCCGGGGAGAGAGAAGGACTTTGCAGTAACAGGGTTCCCCTGGGGATTGCAGGAGCAGTCCAAGGGCGGAGGAGTCTGCAGCTCGACCTGGCAAAGAGGCGGTGACCTCGAGAAGGGCTGGCACACTAGGGGTTCTCCCTGGAAACCGTGGGGAGCTGAGAACACACGGGCCTGTGAGTCCACAACAACTTGGGAGGAGCGGAGGATGGCCTGTCCCCGTCTCCTTAAGAAGGACATTGTAACCCTGTGCAAAAGAGAGGGTTGAGCGTTGGAAAGTTCACCAAAGCAGAGTTAATCGTGCAGCTGGAGGAGGATGACCGCTCTAAGGAACAGATTCCTGACCCCAACTGGGGCTATAGCAGGATCTGGGAGCAGCTGAAGCGGGAGCCAGGCATCGCCAAGACTCCTGTCCCCGACCAGACGGGGTCTTCACGATCAGGTTCCCCATCGGGGATCGAGACGGACGGGATTGCAGCTGAGTCTGAGAGAGCAAGAGGACCCTGGGAGACAGCGAGAGCCGAGAAAGAGCTGCAGAAGCAGCAGCAGCATGAACTGGGGTGGGGAGCGGAGAGGCCTAGGGGACCCCCCCAGGGGTGAGTGGGGATAGATCCCGGGGGGCCAGTTCCGCAGGGAACCTCGAGACTAAATTGCTGCCCCTGATTAAGGGGGTGAGGGGGATGTGGATGCCACCTCACTGCCTTTGAGCAGGCTGACGATTTGAACCAGGGGGACCCTGCGGAAAGGCCCCGGTGTCTAGCTCCCTTGCTGGGTCCCAAGGCCATAGACTCCGTCAGCCAGATGGTTGGGGATGTGGACAGGCTCCCACTCCTGACCCCAAACTATATGTCTGTGTGGAGTTTCCTGGGGCCAGGCCCCTCGGACCTCCAGTGGGATCAGAAGGTGATGGTCAATGGGGAGACATTCTTGGGGTGGCCAAAGGGCATGGGCTGCATAAACCTTCCCACATGCGGCCTGCGAGTGCTATGACCACCCCTGACCTAAGGGAGGGTGGAAAATGGAAGGGCCTGGTGTAACTCCTACCAAGGAATGGGAGAGATGCTGGGGCATCCATGGGAACGTTGGTGGCTTCGAACTTCCCCAGGTCACCGGCTAAGACCCCGCTCAGTTCGATCTCGAAGGGGGGAGAGATGTGAGAAGTGGGACTGTTCTTAATGTTTCCTCTGAATAGTGTGAGGGTGCCTCAGTTTCCCTAGGCAGTTCTTAAGTATCTAGGGGGTGGGGTAAGGGTGTATGATCATTGCAGAGCCCTAGAGGGCAGGTGTGTGAGGGGTCTGGACACAGAGAATGGCCAACACCCTGTTTCCTGGCAACTGATGGCCTGGGCCCTTCCCCCCTGCAAGGTGAGAGCTGAAGGGTTGGAGAACAAAGGAATCAGGTGACCACCTGGCCTGGGAAAGGAACAAAGCCCAGAGGAGGAGGGGCTGGAGGGGTTTCAGTTTGGGGCTGGCTGGGACATGGAGTGAAGTGCAGACGTGTTGTCTGGCTCACTGCCCCCCAGAATGGACCCAGCTGAGGGGTCCCGTTCTCTGCACCTGCAAGCTCTGTTTTAGACCATGTTCCTGTCGTCTAATAAACCTTCTGTTTTACTGGCTGGCTGAGAGTCACGTCTGACTGCGAAGTTGGGGTGCAGGACCCTCTGGCTTCCCCAGGAGCCCGCCTGGGTGGACTCGCTGGGGGAAGACACGGAGAGGCAGAGGATGCTGAATGCTCCGAGGTCATACCCAGGAAGGTGGAAGCTGTGTGAGCTGTGTGTCCTGAAGACAGTCTGCTCACAGAAAGGCGACTACCCCAGAATCCTGACTGACTTCATGGGGAGCAGTTCCAGAGCATCGCCCAGGGACTCCGTGACAGCCAGCAAGACCCCCTGGCCGTGCCCCCTCTGGATTCTGGGGGGGGGGGATTCTCCTCCCCCCTGAAATCATGGGGCTCCCCCCCTTCACCGTCAGCAGCCTCCTTGGCGGAGCCAGGCCGCTGCTTTGGTTAAGGAGCCTAATCGCTTTGATGAAATGATTGTATTTGCCTGTCGGCTCCGTGTGCATCTCCTGCCCTAACCCGTCTGCCTGCCCCCTTTCCAACCTCCTCCCACTTTCACACCACGCCCCCTGACCCTCCCAGCCCGGGCGCGGCCCCTCGGTGCAGGCTGGGGGGACCCTGCTGAACACCCCCGTTCCTCAGGCCCTGTAGCGAAAAATGAAGTTGCACCCCAATGGCCCATTCCTCACGCTCCCCAAGCCCAGCCAGTGACGTGACTGGCTGCGGGGAACGGGATTTATTCTTTTATGCTCGCACCTTGTGGCAAACCCCCCCACCCCGAAAACCCCCAGCAGGCAGTGGAGAGAGATCTGCATGACTTAATAACTCGTGGGGGTGTTGGGCTCAGGCTAGACCCCAGCCGCTGTCCCGCCAGGCTGAGAGCAGCACCCCCAGCTCGACTCCCCGCAGCCCTGCCCCATCTTTCCCAGCCACGGTGGGGGTGTCGGACCCATGAGCCACAAGTGGTCCAGGCCCAGCCCAGCAGGACTCAGCCTGGGCTGGCCGAAAAGCAAAGCCGGCCCCCGGCCCCCACCCTGGGGCTCTGCACTGAAACAACCCAGCCAGCTGGGCCGTGACATTTCACATCTGCCCAGTGGATTTAGCCGCGTGACTCCAGTTAATTTCTGCGGTGGGGGGGCAGGCTCAATCTGCTGCCTGGGTTTGAAAAATCTGTCTGGAGCAGTTCTCCGCTCGCAATCCCCCCTGCTGTTTTCAGGGGTGCTGCGAAGGTTAATGCTCTTCCAGTTGCTACAGCATTGTAGATACAGGGACCTGTCTCCGGGAGCTGAGATGCAGCCACCTCTGGGGTGGGGCACGGGGACTTTGTGCAGGGACCCCTCACCCAATGCTTAGATGCAGCTGCCTCTGGGGTGGAGTGGGGCACGGGCTGTTCATACATGGATCCCTCACTCTGCACTGAGATGCAGCCATCTCGAGTGGGGCACGTGTATTTCAAGTTCTGCTTGTTTCATGTGTGTTTAGCTGGGTTCTTTGTCTAATCTTGGCTGTTTACGCACTCGTGCGTGACCTAAACTGCTGTAAACGTGACCACCAAGCGCTAAGGAATCGGCTGTGAGTAGATTGTGTTGAAGCCGGCCCAGGGGCCTCCCGAAATGCGCTGGGGTCCGTGCGCGGCCCAGGGGCCTCCTGAAATGCGCTGGGGGGCCGGGTGCGCCCTGCAGGCCGGGCACCCCGCTCTGGCCCAGGGCTGGGCTGTCGCAGTGGGAAGGGAAGGGTTGGCTCAAATGCAGCAGACAGGTTTTTAACCCCAAGCTTTCTGTGGGGTGCGGGGTTTAGAAAACCTGGCCTGAGAGGGGCGGGGTGGGGGGGCTGCTATCCTGGGAGTGGCACCAGCCTGAACCAATTTAGGGCCAAATTCTCCTGCTGACACTAGTGTGAACCTAGACTAGCTTCTGAGCGCAGTTCAGCTGCTCTAATTTGCTTTCTGCTGCTGACTCACAGCCGCTGGGGGCCTGGCCCCATTGACTCCAACGGGAGCGACGCTGATTCCCAGCCGCTGGGGGCCTGGCCCCGTTTGCTCAAGCTCAGCGCTGCTGTACCGTGCGAGCAGACCCGTTAAACCCACCCAGCCGTGCCTCTTGAAAGCACCAGCCGGCACCAAGCCACTATTTCCCCTGGCTGAGCAGGGGCTTCGCTGTCTCTCTCCCGATCTCCGGTGAGCGGGGAGGGAGGAGTGGGATGGGGGAGCACCGGGGTGGGGTGGATCTTCGCGGTTTGCCGTCAGAGCAGAGCTGGTGAGCCAGCCAGCCACGCCGTCTCCTGGGGAAGTTTTCCGCGTGAGCGGGGATCAAGGGAACATTTAAGGCTTTCACTGAAAAAGCCAGAGCAGGGCTGGTGAGGGCCCACCAAGCTGGGGTGGAGCTGCAGGGCCGCTCAGACGCTCTGGGCCCGACGGGAGAGCCTGCAGCCAGTGGGGCAGGACCACGGCTGCATCCCCCCACAGCGGAGAGCGCGGGGGACTTACTTGGCTGCCGCAGGATGGAAGCGGCTGCATCCTGCTTCGTTTGAGGATGAATTGTCTCAACCGTGAGGATGTCATGGGGTTGGAGGGAGAAACTGAGGCACCAAGAGGGGGAGGGATTTGCTGAGGTCAGACAGGGAGTCGGGTAGAGAACACAGGAGTCCTGGCTCCTCAACCCCCCCTGCTCTAACCACAGGACCCCATGCCCCTTCCACAGCCAGGGATAGAACCCAGGTGTCCTGGCTTCCAGCTCTTCCCCCTCCTGTAACCCACTAGCCCTAACCCCCCAGCTGTGGATTGAACCCAGGTGTCCTGGCTTCCAGCCTCCACCCTGTAACCCACTAGACCTCTCTCCCCTGAAGCTAGGGATTGAACCCAGGAGTCCTGCTCCCAGCCCCCTGGCTCCAGGAGATAACCCACGGCCTCTCTATGGGCCTACACCCCCTGGGGGCAGTGGGAAAGCAGCACCCCCGCCTGGGGCATTAACCCTTCCCCTCCCCGCTGGGGCTGACCCCTTGCTGCCCAGCAGATGCGGGCAAAGTGGATGGGGCCTTTACTGGGTAGGGCGCCCCCGTTGGACTGATCGCAACCCTGAGTGGAAGGCTGGGGGGCGGGGGACATACAAAATGGGGATACAGTTTGGGGGTGCAGTGAAGGAGGAAGGAAGGAAGTGGGTCTGGTCGGTCACCACGAACCAAGCTCCCAAACCCTGCTCCTGGTGAACCCAGGCGTCCGGGCCCATGTCTCTGGTGGCGGGGGAGGGAACTGCTAGTCCAATTCTCTCTGCTGGCCTCCATCCCCGCGGCGCTGGGCTCGGGCGTGTGCAGGGAGCCCGCGGCAGCTGGGCCGGCCCCCGTCTGTCCGTCCCCCGGGGGCGCTAGGGGGGGCCCTTGTCGGACAGGTAAGCGATGAGCACCACCACGGCCCCAATGTAGGTGCAGACACCGAGCAGGATGGAGAGCACGGCCAGCGCGAAGGTCCGACGCGAGGCCGCCCGCGCCCCCGGGAAATCGCCCTCCGCCGAGGCCTTGTTGGTCTGGGGGAGGGGAGAGCCGGTTAGAGGGGGGAGGAGGAATCCCCTGAGACCTCCCCCCCTCGAGACACCCCCCCATGGATAACCCCACCCCTGGCTAGATACCCCATGACGCCCCACACACACCTCCCGTATGCTTCAGATCCCCCCGCCATCTGCCCCCTGCCCCGCCGGGTACCCTGATCCAGCCCCAGCCTGGGCTCCAGTCCACAGCTGGGTACCCTGAGACACCCCCCGCCCCATTCCCAGGCCAGATCCTCTCACCCCATCGGCCCTATGTGCCACGCAGTGCCCCTTCTGCCCTGACCCCCCCAAGCTCTGGGGATGGGGGGGCCGGGGGTGGGCACTGTGACAGTGCCCTGTGTGGGGTTGGGGGCCCCCTGAGGGACTGGACCAGTTTTGGGGGGGCAGAGGAAGTTATGCAAATATCTCCCATAATGTATGCAAATTGTCCAGATTTTACTGCAGGGGGGGGGGAGGGGAGGGGCTAGGTGGAGGCCCAGCAAACTCGTCTCCCGGGTGGGCCGCTCCTGTCCCTGCCCCGCTCACCTTCTGGGACAGGTGGAAGGCGGCGATGCCCAGGGGCCAGAAGCAGCAGAGCATGGAGAACACGGCCAGGCCCAGGTGATCCTGCGGCAGCATCAGGCCGAAGTCGCTGTCGCTCTCACTCTCGCTCGCCGAGTCGTTCTGGGGGGGGATGTGGGGGGGGGGGAATCCAGATCAGGGGGTGGGGGGAGTGCGCTCCCCTGGCCGCCAGGGTTGACCCCAGGAGTCCTGGCTCCCAGCCCCCTGCTCTGGCTACTAGCCCCCACTCCACTCCCAGAGCTGGGGAGAGAACCCAGGAGTCCTGGCTCCCAGCCCCCTGCTCTGACTACTAGCCCCCACTCCACTCCCAGAGCTGGGGAGAGAACCCAGGAGTCCTGGCTCCCAGCTACACCTCTGCATCAGAGGAGCAGAGCTCTGAACCCTGAGTCTAGGGCCCCTCGGCTGCAGGGCAGGGTCCCCGGGCTACGGAGCTCAGCCCTGTGGTGAGGGCCTGGTTGGACGCTCCTGGGCAGGGCCAGATTAACCATTTGCGGGCCCCCATGTGGGCAATGGTGCATGGCGTGCTGGGGGGCGGGGTTGGTCCCCAGAGCGAGGGGCCAGCCAGGGGCAATGGGGCATGGAAGGGGTCGCCCCGCTCCGCCCAGCCCAGCGCCGGGGCACTATTTACAAACTGGCAGTTGCCAGACGCACAGTGGCCTGCCCAGCCCCGTGCTGCCAGCCTGCCCCTTCCCCTCGGGGGCGGGCCCAGGCCGCGTCACGCAGCCCCAGCCCCCCCACCCAACACCCACCGACTCCGGAGTGGCGCGATCAGCCAGGCCAGGGCCTGCCCCGGCCGGGGTCCCTCAAGACCCACTTGCCTGGAGGGGCCCAGCCAAGCCCCCCACACTGTCCCCCCCACAACTGACTGAGACTGGCCAGGCTTCTGCACCAGTCCCAGGGGCCCCACTCGTGCCATTGTAAACCCGGTACTGCTCCCCAGACCCGGCGAGCAGGGAACCCCAAAGACCCTCCGGGATAGTGTGGACTGTGACCAGCCCCACTGCAGGCCATTGATTTACTGACCGGGCTCGTGAGCCAGTCCCTGGAGCTCACGGAGCGATGGCAGGTGGCTAGTGATTCGTCCCCCAGGCCAGTGCCCTCCAGCTGCTGGCAGGGCTCAGCCGGACGCCTGGGTTCCCAGCCCCCCCTCACCTCGAACTCAGGCAGCAGCTCTCCGTCCCCCACTTCGCAGCAGACCGTGTGAATGTCCTTCTCCAGGCAGAGCTTCTTGGGGCGCTCGGCCGGCTCCCCAAAAGCTGTCTCGCAGTACCCCTGCTTCCTCCAGCTGGGGGGCTCCCCGGTCTTCCATGTGGAGCCCGGGGGGGGGGCCGGCTCGGGGCTGCCCAGCGGCTCCACTGTCCTCTGCAGGGTCCCTGCGTCCAGCAGCTGCTGGGCCAGCTCGGGGGGTGGCGGGGGCAGGCGCCTCCAGCCGGGCCGAGAGAAGAAGCCGAGGTGTTCCCGCTGCGCCACCCCAGCCAGGGCGCCCCCGGAGGGTTTGGCCAGCAGCGGGCGCTGTAGTTCGTGGCTGTTCTCCATGAGGCGGGGGGGGATCCCTGCTGCGGCAGGGCGTCCGGCGGGGTCTTGGGCTCCCAGGTCACCTGGTGGGGGGAAGTAAGGGATAAACACGATGAATCTGTAGGGGCACAAAAAAAGGAGACTCCCAGGCTGGAGCAGGAGGAGCGGCTCCCTCCGCTGGCAGCGGTGCCAGGCTGTTCTCCCCTGCGCGCGAGGAAGGGAGGAGCGTTGTCCCTATGACACACAAGGGGAAGGCCTCGCAGAGCTGGCCAAGGGACCCAGGAGTCCTGGCTGCCAGCCTCCTGCACTAACCACTAGACCCCACTTCCCTCCCAGAGACCCCGGGGGCCTGGACAAAGTCCAGCTGCTCCAGGAGAGGAAGAGACATTTGGGGCGTTATTCTGCCACCTGGGGAACCCCCGCCTGGCCGAAGCAAAGAGCCCTGGGTCTTGATGCTGGGAGCCCAGGTGCCGATTAGACCATTCGTTGCAACAGTGGGTCCCTGCCTCGCCCAGCGCCTTTCGCTGGCGGCTGCCTGGAGGGGGCTGGAGCTGCTTTCGCGCAGAGTTAGACCGGCTGCTTGCAGGGGCCCCCCCAGGGAAGGGAAGCAGCGCAGAGTTGCCCATGATCTCCGGCAACCAGCCCCTGCCCCGGAGCGCACATTTCACGGGGGCCCTTCGCGCCCCCTGCAAACCAAACCTTCGGTCCAACCCTGCCGAGATGCCGCCCCCCCCCCCGCGTCCCCCCCCCCCCCGGCTGCCTGCCGAGAGCCTGGATCCGCCACGTGGGCCGGGCTCTGGGTGGACGCAGAAACCTCCCCGTCCCCTAGCCGGGATACCAGGGTGGATGGGTCCCTGGGCGAGCAAGTCCTAGCCGCCCTGCCAGCCCCCCCGTCCCATGCCCCCTTCAGCCGAGGTCCTGCCCCTCTCCCGCCGCTGTTCCCGGCTGGGGCTTCTCCTCCCCGCCCGGCTGCCGGTTTTGTGCCAATCTTCTCGCTCCTGCAGCCGGCTGCCGATTTGCTCCGCCGCTTCTGGGGGGCAGGAGGGCGGGCGGGGCCCTAAGGAGCAGCCGGGCGGTGGGGTCGGGGCGGCAGGAGGCGGAGGGCTCGGGGGAGGTGCGGGGAAGGACGCGCTGAGTCCTGGGGGGGGCCGGTATCTGGCGCCCGGGGGGAGCGGCACAGGGCGCTGGGATGAATTTGGCCTCCAGTCCCCGCCCGCCCAGAAGCAAACTGGTGCCGCCGCTGCGGGCTGAGGGGGGAAACTGAGTCACGGAGAGGGGAAAGGGAGGGGCCGGAGCCCCTGGTGTAAGTCAGTGGTAAACCTGCGAATGGAACCCAGGAGTCCTGCTCTAACCACTACACCCCACTCCTCTCCCCGTCCACATCTACCCAGCCCAGCTGCCCGGGTCCATGAGCTCCCATCGCTCCCCGGGGCTTTGGTGAGGGACTCGGAGCTGGGCCGGGCGGCGCTGGGGAGCCCCGGGAATCTGCGCCACCCCCTGGGGCGTGGGAAGCCGGCCGGGGGGGTGCGGGGGGGCAGGTTTCTCTCCCGCTCCCTGGGCCAGCTCCGCTGCAGACTGGCCACCGGCTCCCAGCCCCGCTTCTGTGCCCGGCGCTGCCCCCAAGCAGAGGTCGCACCCCCCTGCCCCGCACCCGCCTGTCCCCTGCCTGGCGCCCGTGGGCCGGGGCTGGTCAATCCGCGTCCCAGCCCGGCGGGGCCCCGCCAGACCCAGCTCCTTCCCGCGGGCAGAGCCCCCGGCTCCGGCCACCGGGGCAGGGGGGCCGCAGCGTCGGCCCTGGGTCTGCAAGGTGCGCTGGGTACATGGGCCGAGCTCCAGCGTGTGGCGACCCCGACGGACCCCAGCTGGGGGGCTGCCCCACGGACCCCAACGGAGCGACGGCCGACGGACCCCAGCTGGGGGGCTGCCCCAGGGACCCCAATGGAGCGACGGCCGACGGACCCCAGCTGGGGGGCTGGCCCCAGGGACCCCAACGGAGCGACGGCCGACGGACCCCAGCTGGGGGGCTGCCCCACGGACCGCACTCACAAAACAAAGGAACCCACCCGAAGCTCTGGGATCGCGGCCCCACGCCCAGCCTTGGCCCTGGGGGAGCCCAGACTTTACCTGGGGGGGCAGCCCCATTACCCCCCCCCGAGTTAGTCGCTCCTATGGCAATAGGTGAGGTCGTGAATGGGGGGGCAGAGCCCCCTGTGGAGGGGCAGGAAGGAGATTTGGCTTCTCACCCCCCCGCCCCCCACGCAATCAGCTGGGAAAGACACTGACTCGTTCCCCCCCCCCGCACCGGAACCTGTGTCCCCCCCGCTAGGGACAGGGGGTGCGGCTCTGCCCCGGACCCCTTCGGATTCGGGGAGAGGTTGCGGGGGGGGCGCTGTGCTGAGCTTAGCAGCCCCCTCCCGCCTCAGTTCTGGGCCAGATCCGCAGCTGGTGTAACGAGCGTCTCCAGCGACTGACCCCAGCCATGGGTCCGGCCCCATTGACACCCGCCGGGGCCCTGCCCCCCTGCCCGGCTCCAGGGACCCCCCCTGGCCGGCTCTGCCCCCAGCACTTACCGGCACCTCAGCGCCCGCCTCCGCCCGCCGGGCCCCCGCCAGCCGCTCTGCAGCCCCCCCAAGCCTCCATCCCGGGGGGCTGCTCCGGGCCCCCGGCCCCCCCGCGGCAGGAGAGGCGAAAATCCCCCGGCCCCGCACGTCCCGCGCCCCCCGCACGGAGCCCGCAGCAGCTCCGCGATGCAGCCGCAGCCCGGCTCCGCCCCCCGCCCCCCGCAAGGGGCAGGCTCGGGGGGGCTGGGAGGGGCTGGGGGACAGGCTCGCAGAGGGGGTGGGGGGCTGGGGGTCCCCAGAAGCGCTGCCTGCTCCGGGCTCGCTCCCACGCGCCTGGGCCGGGGGCGGCGGGGGGTGGGGGGGCTGGAAAGCGGGGGGAGGCGCTGGGGGGGGGTTGTATCACTGCTTTGTTACCAGCATTAGGGGACCTGGCGTGGCAGTGAGACCTGCCCCCACCCCCCCACCCCCCGACAATGTAGAGATGTGAGGGGTATGGGAACCAGGACTCCTGGGTTCTCTCCCCGGCTGGGGGGGCAGATGCAGGGAGCGAATTAACCGGGCTGAAGAATCGCCCTGACCGCTGACGGGGTCTCCCCGCTGAGCACCTGGGGACGGGGGGGCGGCAGAGCCCGGGCGGTGTCATCCCATGGACCCAGCCAATGCCAGGGGGCAGGGAATCCTGCCAGCCCGGCCCTGGCCCCCCAGCTCTGCCGGTGCCCCTCACTCCCGACCCGCAGCCCCCTGCTAGCCTGGCCCTGGCCCCCCAGCTCTGCCGGTGCCCCTCACTCCCGACCCGCAGCCCCCTGCTAGCCCGGCCCTGGTCCCCCAGCTCTGCCTGTGCCCCTCACTCCCGACCCGCAGCCCCCTGCTAGCCCGGCCCTGGCCCCCCAGCTCTGCCTGTGCCCCTCACTCCCGACCCGCAGCCCCTGCCAGCCCAGCCCTGGGCTCCCCCTTCCACAGGTCGGGGGGCCCATTGCTTCCCAGTGGCCAGGGCCTTCCCTCTGGGAGGCCGCCGGCCCCAGCTGACCCAGCCAGCTCCTTGCACAAGGGCTGGCCCCGGCTTCGCGTCCCCGGCCGGCCTGTGAGCCGAGGGGCCCATGGAAGATTGAGGGGGCTGGAGAAGCAGAGCCCAGCCGGGGGCTGTAGCAGCCGGGCTCCTTCAAGAGTAACGCTCCGGGGCCTGATGAATCATTCATAGTGGGCTCCGTGCGTGGGGGGGAGGTGGGGGAGGGAAGGGAACTGGCACATGGGTGGGCTGCGGGTCGGGAGTGAGGGGCACCGGCAGAGCTGGGGGGCAGGGGGGCAGGGGGGAGCCCAGGGCCGGGCTGGCAGGGGTTGTGGGTCGGGAGTGAGGGGCACCGGCAGAGCTGGGGGGGCCCAGGGCCGGGCTGCCAGGGCCTGCGGGTCGGGAGTGAGGGGCACCGGCAGAGCTGGGGGGCAGGGGGGAGCCCAGGGGTGGGCTGGCAGGGGCTGCGGGTCGGGAGTGAGGGGCACCGCTGGCTTGCGAGGGCAGCTTTGATGGGTCTATGTTTGGTGGCCCCTGAGGTCGCCAGGCTCTGTGGGGCAGGGCCCGTCTCCCACAGCGTCTGAAGGCGCCAACGGGCCGAGAGCTGGAGCCCCCCCCCCCTCGGTGCCAGGCGCTGCACAGACCCTGCAGAGACCCTGCAGGGGATGGGCCCTGCCCTGGGGAGTCCCTCCCCCACCTCGGGGGCGTTATCGCCCTTTGCTGGGGATGCTGGGCCCAGGCCTGGCGGCGGGGGGCAGGCTGGGGGTCAGGTGGGGAGTCGCAGCCTCTGTCCAGCCCTGTGGACTCAGCAACCCCCCCCCTCCCGCGTTCTCCGTTTACCTCCCCCCAGCTCCCCTCCCCCCCTTTGCCATCTGCTGGAACTGTCACCCTCCCCCGCCCCCCCACAGCGCTGGGCAGCCACCAGCCAGCTGCTCACAGACAGGCGGGGGAGGGGGAGGGGTGGCACAAGCAATTCCCCCCCCCCCCGCGTTTACCCCCCCCCCCCCGAGCTGCAGGTTCTGCCCCCAGGGCCCCCAGCCGAGCTGCTGGGGGTGGGGGGGTCTGGGGTAGGCTGCCCACTGCACAGCCTGCCCCCCCCAGTTGGGCCCCCGCCCCCACCCCCCATTGCAGGGGGTGCATGGAGAGGGGAGGCAGACGGATGGTGTCTGGGGGGCTCAGCGTGACGGACGGCTGGTCTGATCCATTCTGGGGGCCCGTAACCCCCTGCCAGGCCCTCCCGGGGGGGCTTCAGCCGGCCACGGTGGCGGGAGGGGGAAGACTGGCAGCGTGGCCTAGTGGACAGGGCCCTAGACTGGCCCCCAGTCCCTGCTCTGGGTCGCGGTCTCCACAGCTGGAAAGGGGGGCTGGTGACCCCCCCGCTCCGTGAAGTGCCCGGGGAGCAGGGGAGGGAACGTGCTGGGTGGGGGGGAGAATCCATGAGCGGAAAGTAAAAGGGGCCAAGCAGCGCCGGGGGGGCCAAGGAACCGTCTCCCTCCCGCCAATGGGGTGCTGAGTTACCGAAAGGCCCCGATCTGGGTGCGAACAGCCCCCCTCCCCCAACGCCGCCTCCTCCCCACGCACGCGGAGGCGGGAGCAGCCACCAGGGACCCAGGAGTCCTGCTGCCAAACCAGCATCGCGGCAGTTATTAATAGACCTCGCTACCCAGCCCTGCCGGTGCCCCTCGCTCCCGACCCGCAGCCCCCTGCCAGCCCGGCTCTGGGCCCCCCCAGCCCTGCCGGTGCCCCTCGCTCCCGACCCGCAGCCCCCTGCCAGCCCGGCCCTGGGCCCCCCCCAGCCTGCCGGTGCCCCTCACTCCCGACCCGCAGCCCCCTGCCAGCCCGGCCCTGGGCCCCCCCAGCCTGCCGGTGCCCCTCACTCCCGACCCGCAGCCCCTGCCAGCCCGGCCCTGGGCCCCCCAGCCCTGCCGGTGCCCCTCACTCCCGACCCGCAGCCCCCTCCCAGCCCGGCCCTGGGCCCCCCCAGCCTGCCGGTGCCCCTCACTCCCGACCCGCAGCCCCCTGCCAGCCCGGCCCTGGGCCCCCCCAGCCTGCCGGTGCCCCTCACTCCCGACCCGCAGCCCCCTGCCAGCCCGGCTCTGGGCTCCCCCTGCCCCCCAGCACATGCTGGTGCCCCTCACTCCCGACCCGCAGCCCCTGCCAGCCCGGCCCTGGGCTCCCCCCGAGCCCTGCTGGTCCCTGAGCCTTTCTCCGGAGAAAAGCCCAGCCAGCGCTCCCTGCTCCGAGGCTGGCCCCGGTGTCTCTGAGCCCCAGCAATCCCACGCCCTCTGACAAGCCACCCCCTGACGCCAGGACGCAGGCCCTGGGCTGGGTTGGAACTGGCGGCCGTCCTGCCTTGGGCATCACCCCAGGGTGCGGCTGGCCAGGACTCCAGACCAGGAAGGGAACGGGGCTAACTGGGATTCATGCAGAGCGGGAATGGGCCAGGGCTCAGCCGGCTGCCCCCTCCCCCTCGCTAGCCCCCCGCCCCCTCCCAAGGCAGCTCGCAGGCTCTCTGCGCAGGGAAGCAGACGGAGGTGGGGGTAGGCGGGCGGGGGCATTAGGTGCCTCTGTTGTCTTCGCTGCACTCTGGCGTTTCAGTTTAATTGCGAGAGGCAGGAAATAATCCCAGCTCGGAGTTGGGGGGGTGGGGGCGGGCTGGCCACGGGCAGCTGGAAAGAGCCCGGCAGCCGCGCGGTGCTGGCAAGAAGGGTCAACCCGCGGGGCCAGGAGAGCGAAGCGCCCCAGGGAAGCCGGGCTGAGCGGCAGGGAGGAGCAGTGGTTAGAGCAGGGGGGCTGGGAGCCAGGACTCCTGGGTTCTCTCCCTGGCTATGGGAGGGGAGCGGGGTCTAGCGGTTAGAGGGGGGGGGGGGCTGGGAGCCAGGACTCCTGGGTTCTCTCCTCAGCTATGGGAGGGGAGCGGGGTCTAGCGGTTAGAGCGGGGGGGGGCTAGGAGCCAGGACTCCTGGGTTCTCTCCCTGGCTATGGGAGGGGAGCGGGGTCTAGCGGTTAGAGCAAGGGGGCAGGGAACCTGGACTCCTGGGTTCTCTCCCTGGTTCTGCCACTTATTTCCACTGTGACCTCGGGCAGGTGCCATCTCTCTCTGTGCCTCAGTTTCCCTCTCGCTCAAGGCGGTTGACCCCCTAGCACTTTCAGGTGCGAGGCAGGACCTGGAAACGCAAACAAGGCTGCTGGAAGAGGTGTTTCCAGCCCCTGTCCTAGGGCCCCATGCAGGGAGCAGGTCTCCCTCCAGCTGCGTGAGTCCGAGGCCCTGCAGGGCAGGGAGGCAGGTGGGGGGCAGGGGGTCGGATATCGCCTCTGGCTGCGGCCGAGGGGGGGGTTTGTTGGTCCCACGTTGGGGGGGGCACATCGGGGGGCCTGGGATTGGTCGAGGGTTCGGCCTCCTGGGGCGAAGCGCTTTGCCTGTGGGGCCAGGGCGATGGGGAGGGGGAGCAGCCGGGGGGCGGGTTCCCCTCCCCCCCACTCTAGCTCGCCCATCAGCTATGGGCTGGCTGGGGCAGGGTCTCCCTGTCACTCCCACGATGCCCAGCCCCGCCCCCCAGCTGTCAATCTCTCTGCCCTTCCCAAGATGGCTGCCGCAGGGCTTCGCCCCGCCCAGTGGAGGCGCCCCTTCCTCCCATGACCCACCCAACATGGCGCCGCCCTCACGATGGCTGTCATTTGCCGCGCTCAAGATGGCCGCGACCCTCGCCCGCTTTCCGCCTTCCTGGGCGGGGCTTCCGCCCAAACGCCGTCACGTGCCTCATCCGCCCGCCAATCCGGCTTCGGCGCTGGGCTGGGGCCCCCGCCCTCCCCGGTTGCCGTGGCAGCGGCGGGCGGGGCGCGGGAGCGGCGGCTGGAGACGAGGCCGGGGCCGGGGGTCGCTCGCGGGTCCGTAGCGCCCGGGCAGCGAGGGGCGGGGCACGGCGGGCGTCGCGCGGTGCGCATGCGCGGGGTGGCCCCTCTTCCCCCCCCCCACCCCGGTGCGAGCTGAGGCGGGGGTACGCGCCGCCTCCCCGTGCACGCCCCCGGCACGCCCCGAGCACGCGCCGCCCCAGCCCCGGGCGGGGTGTGTCCGGCGATGCAGCCACCTCTGGGGCGGGCCGGGCGGCAGCGCACAGGAACACGGAGCCGCGCGCTGGGCAGGGCCGGGAGCAGGACTCCTGGGTTCTCCCCGGCTCTGGGAGGGGGCTGATGGTTAGAGCAGGGGGGGCTGGGAGCCCGGACTCCTGGGTTCTCCCCGGCTCTGGGAGGGGGCTGATGGTTAGAGCAGGGGGGGCTGGGAGCCCGGACTCCTGGGTTCTCTCCCCGGCTCTGGGAGGGGGGTGATGGTTCGCGCAGGGGGGCTGGGAGCCCGGACTCCTGGGTTCTCCCCGGCTCTGGGAGGGGGCTGATGGTTCGAGCAGGGGGGGGCTGGGAGCCCGGACTCCTGGGTTCTCTCCCCGGCTCTGGGAGGGGGCTGATGGTTCGAGCAGGGGGGGGCTGGGAGCCCGGACTCCTGGGTTCTCCCCGGCTCTGGGAGGGGGGTGATGGTTCGAGCAGGGGGGCTGGGAGCCCGGACTCCTGGGTTCTCCCCGGCTCTGGGAGGGGGCTGATGGTTAGAGCAGGGGGGGCTGGGAGCCCGGACTCCTGGGTTCTCCCCGGCTCTGGGAGGGGGGTGATGGTTCGCGCAGGGGGCTGGGAGCCCGGACTCCTGGGTTCTCTCCCCGGCTCTGGGAGGGGGCTGATGGTTCGCGCAGGGGGCTGGGAGCCCAGACTCCTGGGTTCTCCCCCGGCTCTGGGAGGGGGCTGATGGTTCGAGTAGGGGGGCTGGGAGCCCGGACTCCTGGGTTCTCTCCCCGGCTCTGGGAGGGGGGTGATGGTTCGAGTAGGGGGGCTGGGAGCCCGGACTCCTGGGTTCTCTCCCCGGCTCTGGGAGGGGGTGATGGTTCGAGCAGGGGGGGCTGGGAGCCCGGACTCCTGGGTTCTCCCCGGCTCTGGGAGGGGGGTGATGGTTCGCGCAGGGGGGCTGGGAGCCCGGACTCCTGGGTTCTCCCCGGCTCTGGGAGGGGGCTGATGGTTCGAGTAGGGGGGCTGGGAGCCCGGACTCCTGGGTTCTCTCCCCGGCTCTGGGAGGGGGCTGATGGTTCGAGCAGGGGGGCTGGGAGCCCGGACTCCTGGGTTCTCCCCGGCTCTGGGAGGGGGCTGATGGTTCGCGCAGGGGGGCTGGGAGCCCGGACTCCTGGGTTCTCTCCCTGGCTCTGGGAGGGGGCTGATGGTTCGAGCAGGGGGGGCTGGGAGCCCGGACTCCTGGGTTCTCTCCCCGGCTCTGGGAGGGGGCTGATGGTTCGAGCAGGGGGGGCTGGGAGCCCGGACTCCTGGGTTCTCTCCCTGGCTCTGGGAGGGGGGTGATAGTTCGAGCAGGGGGGGGCTGGGAGCCCGGACTCCTGGGTTCTCCCCGGCTCTGGGAGGGGGCTGATGGTTCGAGTAGGGGGGGCTGGGAGCCCGGACTCCTGGGTTCTCTCCCTGGCTCTGGGAGGGGGGTAATGGTTCGAGCAGGGGGGCTGGGAGCCCGGACTCCTGGGTTCTCTCCCCGGCTCTGGGAGGGGGCTGATGGTTCGCGCAGGGGGGCTGGGAGCCCGGACTCCTGGGTTCTCTCCCCGGCTCTGGGAGGGGGCTGATGGTTCGAGCAGGGGGGGCTGGGAGCCCGGACTCCTGGGTTCTCTCCCTGGCTCTGGGAGGGGGCTGATGGTTCGAGTAGGGGGGGCTGGGAGCCCGGACTCCTGGGTTCTCTCCCTGGCTCTGGGAGGGGGCTGATGGTTCGCGCAGGGGGGGCTGGGAGCCCGGACTCCTGGGTTCTCTCCCTGGCTCTGGGAGGGGGGTGATAGTTCGAGCACGGGGGGGGCTGGGAGCCCGGACTCCTGGGTTCTCCCCGGCTCTGGGTGGTGGCTGGTGGTTAGAGCAGGGGGGGCTGGGAGCCCGGACTCCTGGGATCTATTTCTAACCGCGCCCCTTGTCCTCCCCCTGCTGCAGGATCATGGCCGAAGTGCACGTCATCGGGCAGATCGTGGGAGCCAGCGGCTTCCCCCGCAGCAGCCTCTTCTGCAAGTGGGGAATCCACACAGGTCAGCCGGGGCCCCGGGCTGCCTGGGGGAAAAAGGGGCTCCGCTCGTGGGCTGGGGCAACAGGGCTGCAGAGGCCCAGAGCCTGAGCTAGTGGGCTAGAGCAGGGGGGCTGGGAGCCAGGACTCCTGGGTTCTCTCCCTGGCTCGGGGAGGGGAGTGGGGTCTGGTGGTTAGAGCTGGGGGTGGGGGAGGGCTAGGAGCCAGGACTCCTGGGTTCTCTCCTCAGCTCTCATGTGCTCCCTTCCTGAAGCCTCTGCCCCCCTCACTGACTGCGCTTCCCCCCCCAGGTGGCGCCTGGAAGCTGCTGTCCGGCCTGCGGGAGGGGCAGACGCAGGTGGATCACCCCCAGCTGGACGATGTGGCCTACTGGTCCCACCCCATCGACTTGCACTTTGCCACCAAGGGGCTGCAGGGTAAGTTTCTCCCTCCGCTGGTTCCAGCCCCGGTGTTCCCTGGACTGATGGCCCAGGAGATCCGGGGAAGGCTGCGGGTTCCAGACGGGAGCTTTGGGGGTGGGGGACAGGAAGCCCTGGCTCAGAGTGGGGCAGGGACGGGGAAGGCAGCCCTGGCTCGGGCGGGCGGGGGGTGCGTGGCAGCCCTGGCCAGGCGTGAGTTAGTTTCTCTCAGTGAAGGGAATTTGGCTCCAGTTGTGTGAGACACCAGAGGCCGTTTGTTTTCCAGTCCGTCTCCCCCGGGGCTTTTCTTCCCCTCCCTTCGGCCCCGCCGGAGCTGGGGATGGCTCTGGGGTGGGGGGCAGAGCCCGGGTGGGGCAGGTGCAGCCATACATCCCCCTGCTTCCGGAAGCGCCTTGTGTCCTCGGCTGCAGAAGTGTCCCCAGGATGGATAAACGCTCCCATCCGGCCCCAGGGCAGGACTGGCTGGCTTGGGGGGCAGGGGGCACCTGGCTTGCAGAGGGGGCTGGGCACTGACGGGTCCCCTCTCTCTTGCCGTCAGGCTGGCCCAAGCTGCACGTGCAGGTCTGGCACCAGGACCCCTTCGGGCGCCGGGAGCTGTACGGCTACGGCGTCTGCCACGTGCCCTGCAGCCCGGGCTGGCACGCGCTGGCCTGCGTCACCTGGCAGCCCCTGGGCTCGTGGCAGGAGCGGCTCTCTCAGCTCTTCGTGGGCGGGGGGCCCCAGCTGCTGAACAGCGACCTGATCTACACGGGGGCTGACCGGTACCGCCTGCAGACCACCGCCGCGGGCACCGTGCACCTGGAGCTGGGCGTGGTGCTGCGCCACTTTGCCCGCTACGGGGTGGAGTGCTAGGGAGCGGGCAGGCCCCCCGCTGCGGGGCGGGGCTCTAGGGAGCGGGCAGGCCCCCCTCCGTGGGCTGGGTGCTGTATGGACCCCCTGCCATGGGGCTGGGCTCTAGGGAGCAGGCAGGCCCCCCTCCGTGGGCTGGGTGCTATACGGACCCCCTGCCATGGGGCGGGGCTCTAGGGAGCAGGCAGGCTCCCCATCGCGGGCTGGGTGCTGTATGGACCCCCTGCCACGGGGTGGGGTGTGAGGGGTCTGCACGGATCCTGCCCCTGCTGCAGGGTCCGGGGGGGGGGCTCTGGGGAAGCCCTTGAATCCAGGGGGGTCACCGCAAAGCCTTCCCCCCTTTAACAGTGTGGACATTTCAGCTGCTTGATGGGGCTCTTTTGTAAGAACGGGGCTGGGGGGGGAGTTGGGCTGGCCCAGGGGGTGGGGAAGGGGCCACGAGCTCTTTCCCCTCTGGTGGGCTGGCTTCAGTCTGTTTATGTTTCATGGGGGGGGCAGGACTTCTGGGTTCTTTCCCCCGCTCTGCCATTGACCCTGGTGACCTGGGGCTGGCCCCTGTGCCCCCTGCCCTCTGTAACATGGGGCAGCGCTGTCCGGGCAGGGTGCAGAGCCGCCGGGGGCCGGTGGGAATTGGACCCATCGCTGGCTCCATGGGGAGCGCTGGGGGCTGGCGGGGGGGAGGGAGGCCCCTCTGCCTCCTGCTCCCCAAAGCGCTCCCCCGCCCGTCTTCCCCCGTCTCTCTCCCCTGCCCCCCATTGAACAACCCCCCCTTATATAAAGATCCTTTTGCACTAACGGCTTTTCCGAGAGTTTCTCTTCTCCCCCCGCCCACCGATCGCCATGGTGACCCCTACAGCAAAAGATTATGGGGGTGTAGCTGCAGAACGGTGGGGGGGCCCGTTGATTGGGGGGGGTAGAAACAAAATCAGCGATTGCCCCCAGACGCCTGCACCGCGTTCGTTCCCGCCCCAGCCTGCCGCCCCCCAGAAGTGCCATAGCCCGTGGAACTCATTGCCACAAGGGCCGAGCGGGGTGGGCGCGCTCCGTGGGCCGAGAACAGCCAGCGGGAGGGCGACGATATCCCCGGGAGCTCGGGGAGGGGATGAGTGTCTCCTGCTCCCCCCTAGCTCGGGGGGCAGGTGGCTCTCGGCCCGTTGGGGGGGCCCTAGCTCGCGCTTTGCCCCCTGTCCGTGTCCCCAAGGGGTCAGTGGCTGGTGCTGTTCCAGGGGCGCCCCAGCAGAGGGCGCCCCTGGCCCATGCCAGCCACGTGTGTCCCTGGATTGAGCCTGGCCGGGATGGGGCCCACGTCTGCTCCAGTTAATACCCCCCCAGCCGCCCTCCGGCTCCCTCCAGTGTGACGGACGGGCCCGGGCCCCCCCATCCGGCTGCTTGGCGTCCTCCCTTCGGAGCCTGAGTTCATCGGGGCTGAGAGAGCACGAGGCCAGGCCGGGCTGGACCAGCAGGGGCTGCGGGTCGGGAGTGAGGGGCACCGGCAGAGCTGGGGTCGGGGGGAGCCCAGGGCTAGTCTAGTGGGGGGGCTGGGGGTCAGGAGTGAGGGTGGGGAGGAGCCCAGGGCTGGGCTAGCAGGGGGCTGCGGGCTGGGAGTGAGGGGCACCAGCTGAGCTGAGGGGGGCCCAGGGCTGGGCTAGCAGGGGCTGCAGGTCAGGAGTGAGGGGCACCAGCTCAGGTAGGGAACCCAGGAGTCCTGACTCCCGCCCCGCTGTTCCTAGCCCTGGCCGCGGGCTCCCTGGCTGACTGGTGCAGGTTGTGGCCTGTTGGAGCCAGTGTCTGATGCCAACTTGGCCCCAGGCCGGTGCCCACCTGCAGCCAGCTGCTGCTCCGCTGCCCGCTGACCTTCACGACCCCCCCGGCTCTTACCTCCGCCCGGCCTAATTGGGGGTGAAATTCCGGGAAGGGCTGGCGGGAGCCGTCCCGGAAGTCTCGTTGCCAGCACCAGCTCTTCCTGGCAGGTGGGTCCAGCTTTCACCCCGGCCCTGGGCACTGGGCCCATGCGGGGGCTGGGCTGCCAAGGCCCCCCACTGAGCCAGGGCTCATTAACCCTCCGGCTCTGCGGCGAATCCCGTTAACGGGGCAGCGTCCCTCGGAAGAGCTGTGCTCACCCTCCAGATGGGACGCAGCTCATCCACTGCCCAGCGGACAGGAGGCCGGACTCCTGGGTTCTCTGGGAGGGGAGGGAAGGGGGGGGGCTATAGCGGTAAGATCAGGGGAGCTGGCAGTCAGGACTCCTGGGTTCTCTCTCCATCTCTGGGGGGGAACGTGACTGTTTAAAACAAGGGGCTGAGCTGAGTCCTGTTGCATTCATTCCGCATCCTGCCTGTGTCTCTCCCTGGAGTCCCAAGGCCCTTTGAGAGCCGCATCCCATCGGTTGCCCTCTCCTCCCGCTTTTGGGAGATGGGTGGAGGGGAAATCGAGGCACCAAGCAGGGCAGGAACTCGCCGGAGGCCGTGCTGCAAATCGGAGCTGGGATTAAAACCGGGGGCCCCAGGGCCCCCCGTCCGGCTGACCCAGGTTGGCAGGCCCAGGGCTCGGGCTCCCCCCCGAGCTCAGAGAAGCCACAATTCAGGCGCTTGCCAGCAGAGGGCACCCGAGCAGCAGTTTTGGGGTGTCCCCGTTTGCCTGCTGGGAGTTGCTGGCTAGACACCGAGGGAGCATTGGGGTGACCTGGAGCCCCCCGGCCCACGAATGTGGAGGTGCGCGGGGGGGGGAGCCCTCCGGGGCTGGAAAATGCTGCTGGAGAGGGCTGTACCCCAGGGGGCCAGGCCCATTGCTCCATGACTTTGGTAGGTCAGTGTACACAGAGAGGGGCCAGGACTCCTGGGTTCTCTCTCCAGCTCTGGGAAGGGAGTGGAGTCTAGTGGTTGGGGTGGGGCGGGGCTGGGAGCCAGGACTCCTGGGTTCTATCCCAAGCTCTGGGAGGGGTGCGAGGTCTAGTGGTTAGAGCTGGGGAGGATTGGAGCTGAAAGTCCAGACTCCTGGGTTCCTTTCCCAGTTCTGCCACGGGTTCACTCTGTGACCTTAGGGAAGTCCCTGCCCTGCTGAAAGCCTCAGTTTCCCAATTTGGCTCTTGCTTTGTGATGGCCTAGTGGAGGCTTGTGAGGATGAGTTTGATAATGTCTGGGGGCTTGGGATTGAAAGGCAGAGGGATGCTTGCTCCCTGAGCTAACAGAAAATCCTCATCACTGCCTGCAGTACAGGGCATCTGACACGCAGCCATGCAATACCCATTCCATCCTGCTGAGGGCAGCAGAGCTGGGGCTATACGGCACAAACACGTCTGGGTCTGGGTTTGAATGGAAAGTAACTTCCCCACCCCAGCGGAGAACCGCTAGGCTGCTCCCCCTGCCCCGAGGGAAACTGATGCGGTCTTTGCTCCTGGCTGTATGGCATGTGCTCTATAGTGGCTACAGCTATTGGGGATTCTCCTTGTGTGGGGAGGGGGCTGGAAGTTTGGAGCAGGTGGATTTAAATTCCTCTCCTTTTCCCCATCTGGCTTTAGGCCTTCCGCAGCTCAGATCCGGCCAGCACACGATACCAGCGCCGAGCCTGGGTGCTGGGGTCCGCCCCCCTGTCCTGTCGCAGAGCCCCTAGCCAGAGTCGGTCCCCAGGAATCGGGGCCGATGGGCCCGGCTTGGGGTCCACATTCCAACTGTCACCCCCTGAGGCCCTGTCTGCTCCCCGCCAAGACCCCAGTTCCTGATGCCCCCACACCTTTCTGCAGTGGGGCGGTGGTAAAAAAAAGAAGTGGGTGAACTCAGTTTTCTGGTGTTCGTGGTTGGGCGGCGCCGTGGGGGGCAGGACCTGGGTGTAGGCTGAGCAGCTCCGAAGAGACAGCGGCTGGTTTGAGCGGGGGGCAAAAAGGCAGCACCGGAGTGGGGGGGGGGCGGCTCGGGGCAGGGAGGTGAGTGAATGCCATAGGCCCCAGACGAGACAGGGGTAAATTCTGTTTGCCCCAATCCCCCCTCGGCCATGCTGCCCGCATCCAGCATCTCCAGCCCCAAACATTCAAACATCGCGAGTCAGGCTCGCCAAAATCACGAGATTCTGTAACACTCCCCGAGGGGGGGGGGGGTCTTTTTGTTTGTCGTCTGCATTTTGAGGGTGCCCTGGGGTCACATTTTGCAGCTTTCTCCACAGCCGTGAGGGCTAGAAACATACTTTTCCTTTAAGAACAAAGGCTGAAATCCTCACATCGCCCCTTGACTCCGGGAGCTGGGGCTTTAAGGAAAAGGATAACGATCCTGAGACCCGTGACAAAGTCGGGGGAGTCGGCGACACAGGGCGGGGGCGCTCGCAGTGCCCCCGGGCAGTCACTGCCCAAGCAGAGGGGCTGGGGACTGATCTGACCCTGAGGGGGGCCGGCTCAGCTCCCCTCGGGAGACGACAGGCCCCCAGAGCAGGGGGCGGAGGGTGAAGAGACAGCAAGGGGGGAGGAGAGTGAAGAAGGGATGGAGAAGGAGACAGCTGGGGAAGAAGAGAAGGGGAAGTGCTGGAATGTAGAAGCCAGCCAAGAAGGGGAAGTTGACAGGCCGAAAGAAGGAAGGAAGGAGAGACGGAGGGAAGAGAGGAGGGAGAGAAGTCGGGGGGAGGGAGCTGGAGGAGGCGGAAGGGGGGAGTGTGGAAGCGGGGGGCGGAGGGCAAGGAACAGAAAGGGGGCGGGAGGGGGAGGGGAAGGCGAGGGGAGCTCCCTCGAACTGGCCATGCCCCGCCAGGCGTGGGAGTGAAACACGGAGCCGGGCTCCGGGTCCCCCCGCCCGTGCTCGTTTCCTGGGTGGAGCTGGGGCTGGGCAGAGGCAAAAGCCTTTAAAAGCCTCCAGCCCCAGCTCGCGGGAGCCAGCAGGTCCCAGCAAGCGCCGAGGAGCCAAGCGGGGAGCGGGTGGAATCCGTCCGGCTGGCCTGGCCCCCGGCCAGCCCTACGTTTCCATGCGCCCTCCGGGCCGGATGCCAGGCTGAGCCCCAGAGCGGCTCCGTCTCGCCCGAGGAGCGTGGCCCATGGACCTGGCCGGCGGCCGGCGTCGTCGCTGGGGTTCCCTCCAGCTGCTGCGGGCCGGGATCCCCGGGGGCAGGCGCTAGGCCGACTTCCCAGCCTCGGGCCGGAAGCTGCTTGTCGCCGCAGGGGCCCCCCCCGCCATGGGGCAGGCCATGGGGCCGCTCTTCCTCTTCCTGCTGGCCCTGGTGCGGCTCTGGGCGAGCCAGGCCCTGTCCACCTGCAAGACCATCAACATGGAGCTGGTGAAGAGGAAGCGGATCGAGGCCATCCGCGGGCAGATCCTCAGCAAGCTGCGGCTGGACAGCCCGCCCCAGGTGGAGGGGGGGGACGCCGCCCTGCTCCGCCTGCCCGAGGAGGTGATGTCCCTCTACAACAGCACCCGCGACATGGTGCGGGACATGGCCCGCCAGCAGGAGGCGGCGAAGCTGCGCGAGAGCCCCCAGGACGAGTACTACGCGAAGGAGGTGCACAAGTTCTCCATGCTGTCGGTGAAAGACGGTGAGAGTCCGGGGCGGGGGGGAGCCAGGACCGGTGGGTTCTGTCCCCAGCTCTGGGAGGGGAGTGGGGTGGGGTCTAGTGTGTGTGTGGTTATGGGGGGGGGTCTAGTGGTTAGGCCTGGGAGCCAGGACTCCTGGGTTCTGTCCCCAGCCCTGTGTGCCCTAGGGGGCGGGGGGAGCTGGAAGCCAGGACTCCTGGGTCCTATTTCTGGTTCTGCCACTGATCGCCTGCGTGACTCGAGGCAAGTCCCTTGACTTCACGGGGCCAAGGTGACACCTGGTGTCAGTCC